AAAAAAAAAAGAAAAAACACTGGTATGAAAATCAGTCGTCGTTCTTCACCTTTTCACATTTTTTGTTTGTTTATATTCACAAACTCAAATCGATAAAAATGTTCGAAGTTTGCTTAGGTACGCGTACGCACCCCAAAAGCCACAGGAATGCATGATAAAAATTATTACGCATATATATATAAAAAATTATAGCAAGTAGTTAAAACTCAACGATCTCTATCTACTCTTTTTCTAAAACAAAGCAAACAATTTATTAATTTATCTTGTGCTCATTCCATGAACGTTTTTTAAATTATGATTTAATTATGAACCACGATATGTGATAGCGGGAATTTTAATTTGACCAAAAAGTGAAAAACAAATCAAAATTAGCGTGGCTTTGGGTTCAGGCGCCTCTACACAAAGCAAACCGTTCTTAAAGGCAAACTAAAACAGTTATTAATTATTTTTAAATATCATTAATTTAACATAAACAAGCAGCATGTATGTACGAGTGTGAAAGAGGAGGTGGAAATTGGCAATGTAAACGGGTTGGGGGAACTCGCATCGAGTCACAGTCAGAAACATAAATTGGTATGTGATATAATGAATATAGTCCTCATTGTAATTAATAGTAATCATAATTGTATATTTTTCCTTGTTAAAAATAATTTAATTTTGTCAAAATTGGAAGAGATACCAGATATATTGAAGAGTGGTCTTGTTATAAAACAATAATATATAGATCTATTGACGAGCGTTTGTTTCACATATGCAGACACACGAACACGAATTAACGTTTTGATAATTGTTGATATACAAACGAAGAGCTTAAATGTATAACAAACTTGCTTAGGTACATTAAAAACCGAAAAAAAACGAAAAAAAACACAGAGGGGCGCATACCATAATTTGTTGTCAGTTTTTAAGTTTGTGCCACATAAAAAATGTGATAAAGTAAATTATACCACAGACAACAAATTGGCACAAATTAACACAAAATATGTACGAATATTAAACGAAATTGTTTAAATTGTTAGAAACAAAAACGAAAAAAAAAACAAAATTCTTATCGGTCAGTATTCGAATTAGGTGAGGAAATTCTAAATTTAATTCGTTATAAATTTTAAAAACAAATTTGGTTATTTACTTTGATTTTTACATTTATAATTATACATATTTTATAATCGCTTTCTTGCGCTAGTCAGTTTCTAGAGAGTTTTCGCTTATCATTTTTATAGATTTATTAACAACAATGTGCACTACACGAAATTCACCATTTGTATCCGTTTTGTATAATCAATAATCTAAATGCGATTTATTTAACTTTTTCTAAGGTTGTGGTTCTTATTTATCTGTAAAGCATAATAATTTTAGTTAAATTTAATTTTTTTTGTTACAACAAGAGCAAGAAAAGAGGATGAATTCATCTACTATGCCTATTTTATAATTTATCAACAGCGCATGTGATGGACTCGAAATTAACCAAATATAAAAGAAAATCCAAGACAGACGAGACCATGCAAGCGAATTTGGTCCGAAATGGCAAACTTTCGAGTCGTATAGTTAAAATGTAAAGAAAAGCATGTGATAAATTTTAATATAATTTGATTAACAAACAATTTACTAACACAAAGTCCCCAAACACACCCCGAACCGCAGACAGTTCGCATATATACAGACACCAAATGGCGCCAGGTGATTAGTTCGAGTTTGAGAACGAATTAAATAGTCGGGATTAGTATGTATGTGGGCAATTACCTTAAAATATGAAATATTTTTCGAGAAATTGTACTAACCCAGATAACTCTATTTCTACTAATATGTATCTTTATTAATTCTGTTAAATAAACAATATCAAAGATTTATAAACACCCAAAACACACCCCAAAACACAAAATACACGTTTAAAAAAGTTGTAAACAAGGAGCTGTGAATGTAAAATTATATGTAAAGCAAAATATATCTTTATATAGATACAAACAAACAAACAAACATATAAAGGAATCGATGTGATTAATTGTGATTGAAATGAAACGAAGCATAGATCAGATCGAATCTGATAAGTTGAGGGAAAGGCAGAGTGGGTGGGCAATAGGTTGGGTTATGGACATGAGAAAGGCTTTCTTTTCAAACACATACACACACAATACACAAACAACACACATACATAAATGATAAAAATATAATCTAAGAAAATCTGATATTTTGTTTCTCTTTACTAAGCTACATTTTCTGTTTGTTTTTATGTTCTAATATTATTTCCAAAAAAACTAATAATACAAAATGGGGAATTAAATACATAGCACACGCATACACAATAAATCAAGTAAACCTTAGCCTTAAGTTAACAAAAAAAAAGAAGTGAGAAATGAATGTTGATTGCTGTTACCGCACGCTTTACGAATAGTAAATGTTGACAATGAATGCAAAGCGCCGAAAAAAAAACGAAAGAAAATGTGTCTACAAAAGAGAAATACATACCGATTCGAGTTGAAACATTTGTACCATAGCTAAGTTTGCGCCAACAAATAAATTTACAAAAATTTATACAATACGACAAAAAATCACATTGCTTTTTGCACTGCAATTTAGATTAACAAATTGAAAATAGAAATCAATATATTTATGAAAAGGAAATCTAACTAAACAAACGACATTAAAAATGCCAGTTAGACTATGAAAAAGTGTGCTTAAACCAATTTCAATGAAACAAGAATATGTTAGAACGAATTCAGAGTAAATTTAATTATGTAATTGTGTATAAAGCCGAGAAAACGCCTTAAACAAAATTTGTAAAACTATTTTAAATGTTAAACAAGAAAAACGATTTAATTGTTATAAGCAAACAGGCAAAAACAAAACAACAAATAAAAACTAAATTTAAATATATATTGAAAAAAATTTAAAAAACAAAAAACCACCTTTAAATGCAGTTTGAAAATTCTCTTCTTTCAGCCAACATTAAACACAAATATATGAGAGTCCAGTAAAACTCTTGAAAAAAAACTTGAAAACCTTGAACTAATAGTATTTCTCTTTTTTTAGGTTTGCTGGATAAACTGAGGTGCGGAAAATTCAAACGGAGACCGAGGAAATCTTTAGTGGCCCCCAAATGCTAATCAATGTTATTATACTGAAAGTTTTTTGAGCTTAGTTTTATTGACAAACCAAATATATGATAAACATATGTAATTTAATTTGCTGTATTGTTGTAGTTTTGAAAATCACACCAACAACGACACACCAACACCGGACATTTAATTTGTGATTTCTTGTCTGTTATCTTATTATTTTTGTAAATATTTTCTAAAGCTTTTGTTTAGAAAAATGCTTAAGTGGCTTTTGTATATGTGGTGCATTCGTGTAACTCTTCTGGGGATCATCATCCATCCATCACCACATCTTCATCATTAAACATCACCAACCGCCTCCCAAAGCTGCTAAAACTCCATCAACAAGAACCAAACGAAACTCAACAACAACCAGACTCACCATTCAACAACATTCACCATTCAGCGTCTCTTGGGTAGTAGCCAAAAACACTAAGTTCTCAATATTTTTTGATTAATTTAACATAATTTAAGTTTATGTGTGCTCAGTTACTGGTCCACTATTAATTTGCCTTTGGTTTGTTCTCCTTTTATTTTGTTCCGACACCTCCATGCTGTGTGTGTACCTGTGTGTGTTGACCAGCAGACATCTATCCGATCCTGGGCAGTCTCCTGGGCGTGGACACATCGACGACTGCCAATCCGGGCTCCAGTGTTAATGTCAAAGACGAGTTCTATGGCTATCATCTCAACAACAATAACACCACCACCTCCAGCAGCGCCACCATTACCCATGCGAATTCCAGTGGCGCAGGAGGAGGACTATCCCGGGACTCTTTCATGCAGTGCAAGCATTGCAATCGGTACTACAAGTCGCATCAGAAGCTGCAGGAGCATGTGCGCAAGTACTGCCTCAAGCAGAAGAAGTACAAGTGCGTGTCCTGTGAGTATCGCTCCCGGCGCAAGGATCACGTGCTCCGGCATGCAAAGCGCAAGCACTGCATGCTCTACGAGCAGTCCAAGGACGACGAGGAGAGCCTGTATGTGATACGCAACGAAGATGATCTGAGCAACGACGAAGAGGCCGGGGATGGGGACGACGGGGATCCCGATGATGGGGACCCGGAAGGCGGCGGCATGGACAGCGACGTGGCAGCCGCACTTTGCGAGATCAAGTTCGATTTTGCCGGCAGGGATCTGACCATCACAGCGGTACCGGCGCTGAAGGAAAGCGAGGAGGATGACGAGGACTACGACGACGATGGCTAGGGATGCGGAGTTAAACACCCAGAGAGCAGCCGCTCGAGAGGCGTAATGTGAAATGTTTACCAAATGAATAACGACAATAGTTGGTTGTCCAAGTAGTAGCTACCTCCAACCTCCAAACCATAACCAACCTACCGAACCGAATTGTTGTGGCAAAGCTGGTCCACATTCCTGCACAAATTACTTAATGAACTTTTAACTGTTTTTTACCGATTTCTCTGAGCGCATTCCGTTTTTAAATGTTTTCGTTTCAATTTGTCCTTATGTTTGAGTTATGCCTAAGTTATCCGCAAATGGTCAAAGACCCTTTTATTTATATACACATACGATACGTACAGATCCAGATACTGTATGGAAAACCTAAATGTTTAGTTCTACTGTGGTTGGTGTTCTCAAAACTCAAATATTCTTGCCAGCAATTAGGGCTTTCGCAATCAAAGCAATCAAAGACTTAAAGCGCCATTAGTTTGCCACGTTTTTTAAACACACATATATATTCCTCAGTTATACATTTAATAATTCGATATATCTACTATATAAACGCCTGTAATTATAGTTTTTGGTGTTCTATGAAGCATAGCTAAAGTAAAGCAAGAATTTGTACATTTTTTAAAAATATATTGTAAATGCAAGCAATTAAGAATAAAGCATACGAATCATATATGCGTGAATGCAAAATCCAAACAAGACCACGTTTATAATCCCTTAACCGAATCCACACTCTCCACCAAAATCCAAATTTCCAAGAAACCAATTGGACGACCTTGCAGAACACACACTTGTTAATGCTTACAAGTAATTATAGAACTGATCGTAGAGTTAATCATCCAAAGGATGACTAACCAGTGTCTCCATTTTTTTCCCTGGCTTCTTGCAGATGGCTACTGGACTATTCTGGAGACGGTGCCCTATTCGATTGCCAGTGCAGCTCCCAATCAGACTCTGAGTACCACCACTCTGAGCAATGGTGGCCAAAGCCTGCTGTCGGGAGCCACCGTGGTGGTCGAGCTGCCTCCCGACGATCTGGGCAATCCGGTGGGAAATATCCAGTATACCATACCGGCCCTCACAAAAAACGCCACCACGAATACGAATACGACCAGTCTGCTGCACAAACCACAGGCCACCACCATACAGATTGTGAAGCAGCAACACCAACAGCAACACCAACAGCACCAGCAACAACATCAGCAACAGCAGCAGCAACAACAGCAACTCCATCAGCAACATCGGCAGCATTTAACTATCCAACAGCCGCAGGCGCATGCGCGACAGGAGTACATTAAAATAGACACCTCCAGGCTGGAGGACAAGATGCTTTTGCGCGACGTGATGCAGTATGGAGCCACCAGCATTGCCATGGCTCCGCAAAGTGCCACCACCACTGTGGTGTCCACCCACGAGTCAGGTTTGCTGTTGACCGATGCAGATGAAGCCGAACGAGAGCTGGAACTGGAGGCCATGAAGGTTGATCAGCACGATGAGGAGCAACTGCTTGACGACGAGGGCTATGTGGTCGAGAAAATTCACGGTGATGGAGAGCCGGTTCACCAGCAGACGGAAAAGCTGTACATGAATGGTATATCCAATACCATCCACACGGCCACCACAATGACTTTGCAGCAGGTGACCAGTGATTATCCGCTGGAAGACTGCAAGTACGCCTGCAATGTGTGTGGGAAGACCTACAAAATCAAGGGATCTCTTAAGCGGCACAAGAACTACGAGTGCGGCGTAGAGCCAAATCTCAAGTGTCCCCATTGTCCGCACAAGTGCAAGTACAAGTCCGATTTGCGCAAGCACATGAACCAGAAACATGCCGATTCCGGGGAGGCGATCCTGGGAAACTAGGTCGATTAACCATAAGACATATTAACATTTTTAGTCTGTTTAGCACTTGTTGTTGTGAGTTACCATAATGTGTGATTAATATTTACCCTACATTTATGTATTTACACAGGGCTCTCTGATCTTTTTTGGAGGCTTAAAAAATGGTTTATAACTAGAGCATTTTAATGCAATTTCTAGATAATTAGAAGTATCTATTAAATCAATTAAAAGTATTTATTGGATCCTTTGTATATAGTGTTGTAGAACCAATATAAAACCTCTTTAAAGCACCTCCATATTTTTTTTAATCTCCAAAAAATTTCGCCGAGCCCCAATAGTCAGTAAACTGTTTGTAATATAGCCAAAGTTATGATCTCAAAATGTAATCTTAAATACAGTAAGCTAGTTGGACTGAGTATCGAAACGCGCCGTCAAGTGAAGTTCAAGATGAATTGCTCAATCTGTAGAATCAAATTTCGAACCAGCTCAAAATCAAGTCTAAGTTTAAGTATTTTAAATTCGAACATTATACAATAGATAACGTTTTAAAAACATAACCCAATCACTGCGTGTTTTACCATGTATATGAAAGTACCCAAACATACCAATAAATAAATGTTTATAATCGAATCGAAGGCAATTATTTGATCTCTTGCGATGCCCAGATAAAAATCCAACACTAATATGGTTTTCTTTTCTCTAGGATAAACACGTGGATCGAGATGACGAGAGCTGGAGGAAAACGACGTGGATTGGATGGCTGGCCCAACCAAAAAAGGTCTATAAATTTAAATTGACTCGTATAGCAATAAGTAGTCCAATCATTTATCAGCCAATAAAAATGTCAAACTGAAACGAATTTGTTGTATTCATCACCACGATCACCACAAAACTAGCCTGAATCGAAATCCCCTGTAACCTGTGTGATTAGCTTAGCTGTATGGAAAGACCCAAACAATCGCATTACGTTTTCTGTTTCTCCTGTCTGTCTGCAGATTTTGTGCGTCACGGTCCCAAGAACCAGCTTCTATGCCAATGTGGTCGATACTATAACACCCTCGGCCGACTAATGCTGCACCAGCGCGAGGAGTGCCAGGACTTCAAGCGATTCCAGTGCGACTTCTGCCTCAAGTGGTTCAAACGACGATCCCACCTTAATCGCCACAAGAAGCTCCACGACGCCGAGCTCTTCTTGGAGCCGCTGTCCAAGCAAAAGCCAAAGGCCAAGGCCACCAATCAGATGGCGGATGACGCAGTGTCCGTGCAGACTCCAGAAGCCTCAAATCAAGAAACCGATTATTTGTATACGTCTGAAATCAAAGTGGAAAACGAAGCGGAGGAGTTCATTTAAGTTTTGTTACAAAAAATATTATAAATATTACTAGACCAGTTCTCGTTGATGCCAAAACCAAAAAATACTGATTTTGTAAATAAATAGAAAAAAAGCAAGCGAAAGTCTTGTGTTGTCGAAATCCAAGTCTTACGTTTTACATCCAAATTAGTTTACCTTTTTCATGACCTTAAGTTTATAAATTTCAGTTTTATTGTAAATACGTATGAATGCGACTGTTCAGATTGAATGTGCATCGCTCAATAATTAACTTTATGTTTCATTTCATGCAGCTTTAAGGCAATTTTATTTGTTTTCACTTATTATTTTTATTTTTATTTTGATTTCCTGGGACTTTTTTCTCGTTGCAGTGAATCCCGAGGGGAGGAAGTACAATCTGCGCACTCACGAAATTTCTAGTAGTCCGACGGACTTTCCCAGCACTTCGAGGCAAAAAGTAGTCGGAGCCAGGGATCGAAGTACGGTTAGTCCGCCGTCTGAGACGGTCAGCTTGGATCAGAAGAGCGAGAATGAGGAGCCCTCGGACATCGACAATGCCGCGAGCCTCAAGAAAGCCATGGCCACTTCGGATGCCATGATAGCCCTGCAGCAGCTGGCCTCCATTTCAACGGCTAGATCGCTGCAGCATCTTGTTCAGAACATGAGTAATATCGACAACAGTGCGTTAATTCCTGGGCGGAAGCTGCCACGCCACACAACTAAAAGGTCACCCAAGTACGAGTCCAATCGATGTCCGCTGTGTTCCCGAGTCTGCCGCTCCCAGGCCTTCCTCAACGAGCATATGCGCAAGGAGCACTCGGTGCTCATTTAGAAACACCTCCCACATGGATTACAAAAAAACCTTTCCTGGCTCCACTACCATTCGGACTAAATTTTGTCGATTCCAAAAAAGGACTAGTTAAACAAATATTAACCACACCATAGCAAAACACATTTCGACACAGTCCACTTTTAATTGGAGAATTGAAAACCGTACCAATCCGTTCTATAATAATTTCTAAATATTTTATTTCTAAATATTTTATTAATACTCGTTACTAAATTAAATCAACGTATTTTTCTATTTCATGGAATCCATTTAAAAAGCCTTAAGCTAGTTCTTTAAACTCAAACAAATCCAATTCCACTAAATTTGATTTCTATCAGAACTGAAAATTGTATTTATTAAGCAACTATCAAATCGTTTTGCTCACGTAAGTCAGCGAGGCAAAATATTAAATTTGATCGATTTCAGTCCTTAAAATGTATTCGATCTTTTAGGGCCGATAAGAGAATTTTTACCAAATTTAAATAACCAAAAATTATAATAGAGAATACCTATTATCACATACATTAAACTCGCCTAATAGATAAGATTCAAATCAGATATTTTAAAGTTATTTTTTGGCAAAGCATTTAGTTGCCTGGGAGTTACTTTTAAAACATTTTACACTATAACTAGTTAGAAATTAGATAGAGGAGGTTAACCAGATTTATTGTCCATATAGTAAACAAGGTCCAATTTAAGAGTTTTTATACTTATTGCTAATAAAGAGAAAAATAAATATTAAAGGATGGTAAATTATTAGCCAAGGTGTTGTTGTTTTGGAATATAACGTTATTTAGTTAATTTTGTAGTACTTTATTATTGTACTTTTATTTTATCTCTTTAAAGTTGTCTGCAGATTTATTATTTGAATGCTCTAATTTCTAAAAAGGTAGGTATTTATACATGTCTTTCTTTAATTTGTATTAATTTTTGTTGTATTTTTTCTTTATTATTTTCAGTTAGTCTGTTAATTGGCAAACGTATTTTGAACAAAAGGACGAAAAAGCAGGCAAGTACCTGATTATCTTTCAAAGAAATTAAACCCTTGTATTTTCTTTTGTAAAAAGTCCGCTTGGATTCAAATATCCAGACAAGTACATAGATACGGATCGAAGCATACCAGAGAGCAATAATAATAATAATCCTTTAACCAAACAGGTTTTTGGTAACAATAGTGGGGTGGATGGTGCCCTTGAATCTGCAATGCAGTGCGAAAAAGAAAACACATACCCTAGAGATTCGGCCAACCACAAAATAACTGTACTCCCGGGCCTTTTGTCCTCGAAAGGGAGATAGATGTATCTCCCAGATACGCTCTATACCATACATGCATCTCACGCTCTCGCCCACACAAAAACTCGATATGCATTTGAAAACATTTGCGCACACATAAATCAGGATCCGTTTTGTGTGATTTTCTAAAAATAAGTTTTCCTTTTCCACTGCCTGACCCGCGTTTGCCTGCCTGCCTGCTTTGTGTCTGTATCTATGTATATCTGTATCTCCGCTGGTGCGGCTTTTGCAGTTGGGCTTCCCACGTGATTTTTCCCGAGTTTTCCAATTTTTGCCTGCCTGCCCTATCGGTCTCTCCTTTGGGCTTTGCCTTCGTAAAGCCTGGCCCGACAAATATCAATTCAAACACACAGGACACAGAAGTTTCAGGGGCTGGTTTTCAAGCTATATTTGTGTGGGATATTCCTGGAAAATCTTCGGTAAACCTTGATGGACAAGATAATTGTGTGTGCGTGCATTTATAGATATTTCCAGAAAGGAAGCGCCTTGAAGCTGGAGTTCTGAAAATACCCAACACATGTACAAATAATTATTTATGGCCTAGCTGCCATTAACTTTTCCGCATTTTATTCTGGTCCATGCGATTTGAATTAGAGATCGCTTTTGAAAAAATGTAAAATGCTCCAGCTGTACTTTTTATTTTTTCAAGAAACAATCCTTTGAAACTGAAAGTTGAAGAACATCATAGTCCATTCATTAGTATTTATTTCTTAAATATCAAAAAAGTTTGTAAATAAAAAAGTCCTCTGCTTTTATTTCTAGAATGTTGTAAAACAGATTTATTACCATTTTTAAGGGTCTTTATAACATTTTTATAAAAAAGGTAAACCAACACAGATTAAAAAAAAATCAAATGTGGAAACAGAATTCCGCTTTTAATTTTGTTTATTCTTATTTAGTTCTGATTTAACTTCGGGGTTTTAACTATACCTTAAAATATATTTTTAGAATATTAACAACGAAGCTGCACAGGTTTTCATTTAGGCAGTGGATCTTTCTTGAGATACATATATTTAGAAATTAGAATAAATTGCAAATTTTTTTTCTAATACTATACAGAAAATTTATTATTCATATTTATTGTAGAGTTTTCTAGATTGTCCTGAAGCCTGTGATAATCCAGAACAAATTAAATTAACTTTTCCGCTGCTGACCTTGAAAATCCAACATGTATTTTGAACAGATGCATTTGGATCTCGAAAATAAACATACATAGAAAACACCACCGGAAGCTGAGTTTACATGTATTTCACTGCGCCTGCTCAAAATGCTTTGAAAAACTCTCTCCCTCTCGCTTACACAAACAGAGAGCAATTTCCTCTCAGAGAAAGTTTTCCGTATTGCAGTTTTTCAGTTTTCCATAAATAGAAAGAGAAGAAGGGACAACAAACAGCCCACAACAACAACTGTTGAGCTAGGTAGAAAACCCGAAAATAAATCAAGGATCCTAGTCGAAATAAACCCGATCCGAAAGCAGGCAGGCTCTACACTTGCTGTGCAACAGATACACACGCTCACACAGATACTCACAGATACAGATGCACACACAGGAGAATGTTTCAGATGCAGCTGCGCCTGCGTTGTAGGACTTAGGACTTGGATTGAAAATCCGTAAGCTAGAGCCAGCCAAACAGTGCAGTTTCGATTGTGTTGCCGTGTGGACGCTTTTCAGTGCGTTGGTCGTGGGCGGAGTGATAATAAAGCAGTGAAAAGCTAAAAAAGCTTGAGAATCGAAAGATAAACACTTATAAATTATTCAACTTGAATTAAATAAATAATAAAGCTCTGCCCAGACCAACCCACAAAAGCCAAAACCTCGAACTGCACTGTGCTGTGCTATTTATACTTTGTTGTGTTTTTGTGTCAACTTAATAAGTTTGCCATACATATTAAGCCTAGTGATGATAAAAAGTGATATAAACCATTTGTTGAATTTTTAGCAAATTTTTATATTTTAAGAATAGTCATTACTAGGTTTTATTGATTTACAAAACTAAAACCCCAAAAAACACAACCAGTGTAAAAAGCGCTTACAAAATAATAATTTAAAACAGATCAACTAATTATTAAATCTTGTTTATTTTTAGGTGCACATAATGGATTACCACTGTGCTGTGATACTAAAACGGAATCATAATTATTTCAACATATCGCTAACCTATTCTTCTCTGTTTTTCT